TCATAGCCCGCCACACTTCATGTGGATCACCCTTTACACTTGAAAATTTTTCTAATGCGTTTACAGCTAAGTTAAACATCGTATAAAATGCATTTGTTAGTAATTCTCAAGTCTGTATAGTACCGACCTCTTTATCTGCCTCTGACAAGAAAAATCCCAAAATTTCCAGCGAAACGAATTGTTGGAACGAATCACTGATAGGCGTTGAAGCTACTCTAATGTTGCTTTCGGTCGCTGTTAACAACAAATATCATTTCGGTAAACGAATTTTCAAAGAAATGTTATTATTATAAGAAAGCTAGTTAGCGGCATAAGAAACTGTACTGGCCAATGTATTCGTCATTAACCCTAAGCAGTATCCGTGAATATACTAGGCTGTCGAAAGATCATGCAAGATTCTCTTAAATTTCTTGTAATTTCATTATGCTAATAGATATTGTGAAAGAGTTTGTTGGATGTTTACAAGGTTTGCCAATGCTAGCATTTATGAGCACATCACGGAAGCAGGGCGTTAGTTTAGCAATTTGGACTGTAAGCACAGAAGGGCAGCTGCGGGTAGTTTGGTTTATATTTTCACAGAGTATCGGGCAGCAATCTCAGAAATCATCTTATGTCAGTTGGACCTTTAATGCCACCTATTGGCGGTATTCGATGCAATTGCAACTGAAGTACGAGATTCGAGCAATTTTTATGGTATTGCGGGAAGATGGATTGGCCTACGGTCGCTTTATCTACTATGACTACAGAATGCAGGAGATACGCTATTATACGAAGTGCGCTTATATCGGGGCGAAATATGAAAAGATGAAAATCATAGCGGCGAGCAATCCGCACCACCTTAGCTCCACGTATATGCTTATTGATATGTTAAAGTGTAAATCCCTTAGAATGCTTTGCAAAAACAGGAGTTTTGCTGCGGGCGAGGCTTCTGTGCCCGTTACAAGGTTGAAGTTTTTCGTAAAAGAACAAAAAAAAACTAACAGCTCCAAGAGCGCTTAGGGCGCCAAATTTTACTCATTTACGTAAAGCCCCTTCTGCTCATAATTTTCCACCTATCCTCTCTCTCTCACAACTTCTTCTATTCTTCCATTTTTGGGACCATAATTTTCGAAAATTCTGCTAATACATATGTAGATCAGGTGCATGCTTGTATGGCTTTCTACATGCGATACTGCCCACATGTACCGTTTTTAATGAAAGTGGATGATGACGTTGCTGTTCATCTTGACCGTCTTCTGGATCTGTGGCAAATGACCAAAGAGGCAACAAATAATCTCTTCTGCTCAATCCTCAACAACACAGAGCCAGTACGAGATCCAAGCAGCAAATGGTAAGTCGTCTTTAATGTAGCAAGTGGAAAAAACACTTTAAATGTCTTATTAATCTACCTCATTTATTGAACATCGCATAATAAGCAATATCGGGAACCATAGGTTTGTCAAATCAGGAACCTAAATTGTTCAACTCGAATAAGACCGGGTAACCGTGGATGCTGTTTCTATTTCCGCTCATTTAAACAGCTTACTTCTTACAATAACTCTCGATTAATCTGTTTTCAAATGCTGCAGCTGCACTTAATGATCGCAGCGCAGAAAAGGTACTACACACCTCGAATTTTTCGAAATATCATCTCCTCTATTGAGCATTATGTGATTCAAATGAAAGCATCAGATTCAACCATCATCTATCTCTCTATTCTGCAGATCTCAGCCTTAGTTCCCCAGAGTAAAACAGAGAGCTTTAATGAGGGCCCGATAACGCAAAAGTATTATGGCTACAAATGTGGCACTTTTAAACAAGGAAAATTTCTTTGTTTTAGACCATTATACAGCTGCAAAGTTCAGATCACATTCTTCCGCATGATTTGATGATTTGCATTTTCAACAAATTTTCCAGGAAAATTATACACAAACGCAAACGAGCAATTTTTTCATTTATGTCAAACCAGATCAAGAGTAGCGAAAAAGCTGAATTTTAATTCGGTCGATGACGAGTACCCTGTGCTTTAGCGCTTTAAATTTTGCAAATGCGAGGCAGTGCCTCAAAGATAAGAGTGATTTTTGTCTTAGCATAGGGCGATGGCTATGAAAATGTCTAGAAAAATGGAACGATATACACGTGGCCGAGTTTTATAGATAGGCTAACTCCACTTTTACATGGTTTTTGGAGTGACCGTAAAATCTTCGCAATTCACAATTGACCCTGTAGAACTCGAATGAATGGGCTACAAAAAACTCGGAGTGCGTCGACATCTTCACACAAAAAAAGGTTTCAGAAACAAGTCCTTTGCCAAAGTACGGCAACGTTTTTTCATATTGTAGAATATCAAGCTAGCGGTATATGAGGATTCGCACTCTTATCAGCAAAAGTACAGATTCCCATATCTCATGCATTACTTAATTGCCGCAATTCTTATTTCAAATACATGTATTTGAAATTTCAAAAAGCGTGCATTACTTTCGGATACCTAATACTCATCACCGAGGTATCGCTCAGCATTGACCCACCTATGGGCTACTCTTCCATCTAAGCGATTTCTATGGTAATGGGTTTAAAAAAATGTTTAGAGGTAAAGACTTTTTCGGTCTGTGCTTGCAAATGACACCTCAAAGCATAATTGGATACTGAACGACGTCAAAAGGATAGATGTCATACTGAATGGATAGATAAAAGACTTCATTCTGTGTTGACATTTACTGCAAAAATTTTAGCACAAATAATTGGTAAACCAATCGTAGAGTTTTGACTAGATCTGCACTTCTTATGCGACTCTAGATGAGATGACAACTTTACACATGGCCAGGTATTGAAGGTATGCTTCGGAGACTAAATGGCCTCTGGCGTTCTATCCTTTGTATTGCAATGGGCCTTTCTACATTATGGGGAAGGAGGCTGCAAGAAGAATGTTATCGCACTCGCTGCGATTCCCTCTTTTCACCATGGAAGTATGTTTGTGCTTCGACGTTCATTCTATCACATTCATTTATTGCTTACAGAATCACAAATTAGTCCTTCAAATCGTTGTATCTTTAGGATGTTTTCTACACCGGCTTAGTTGCGGGATCATTAGGAATAAAAGTTGTGGATTGGAGGGACAGGATTTTGAATCATCTTGAGGTAATAGGTTTTTTCTCCAATCAATCAAAAATGGTGGCTATTAAAATCTATAGTTGAGATCGAGTATTCTGTTTGAATAAAATATTCGAATTTCGAATAAGTGGGCTCCTTCGAACACTCGCTATTCTTTTCGAAGAAGCCATTATTCAATTTTTCACATAGTCGAATATTCAAAAAAAGCATTTATTCGAATATTTAATGGTCGAGTATTTTGAAACATCGACTTTCGAATATTCGAGTTGGATTGTGAACTGAAATCGAATGGTATTCGATCGTTTTAATGTTTGCGGAATCAGCGAATATTCATTCAATCAAATTCTGCGATATCATCTAATATAATTAAGACTGACTATTTATGTTTGACTGGAAAATTCGAATTCGATTATTTACCATTCGAATAGTCGAAATTCGGAAAATCGCACATCTTCGAACTGTTGGGTCATGCCCGTTTATACGATGATTCGAATAGTCGAATACCAGATCCACACTCTTCAAGTACTCGCATTCGAATATGTTATAAATAGCGATATAAATAATACTCATTCGTTCAAATATATATTTACAAACGAATATTCTGCATTCTTTCATTCGAAAAAGTTTTTCAATGTTTCAACTATGTCGAGAACTCCAGAAGCAATTCAGTTATCTTATATATTTTAAAATTAAGATACATTTTGATAAAGAGTTTATATTCTAATATGAGATTTTCTGGTCTCGGCATACAGCTATTACCCCGCTACCACCAACTAATCGGATTTTATTTGCTGCATAAAGTAGGACAAGTGTATTGTAAATACAAGTTAACATTCAAATACAATAAATTAAATTTCAACAATTAAGTTTTCGGTATTTCGCGAAGAAGATGTAACAAAAAGAGTTTGGATCATTTTCTCGAAAAAACATCTCGAAACGATTTAGAAATCCTTTATTTATATCATTCTGGAAAAATTTAAGGTTTGCTAAAACCCTAGATATTATGTTATTATTATGAAGAGATTCATAGTATATTCCACAAGACAGAATTTATGCAAGCTTAGGTTAGGTAAACGATGAAGACTCATAGATTAGATACGTAGAGCCATGGCTCTGCTCGCCTACACTAATGGGCTAAGAAAGGGTACGACCCTCACCTGACAAAGTCTGAGTAACTATTAACTGAGTGATTCAAATGTCTCTTCTAGATTATAAGTGTGGCCTCATACACATTGAATCAATATTGTTAATGTGAACAGTATGATCAATATTGTTCACAATTTTACTTTAATGTAGATAGGACTCTAGCCTGAGTTTGTTAAAGGTATATGCACGAAAAGAGCGAACGAAGAAAATGAATGAGAAAATGGTTGAAGTTCATGTCATTTTTTGCTATATTTTCCAGATTAATGTTTGAGCAAATAAGCAGTGTTTCCACTATTGTTGTATTGTACCGAGGAGGTTCGCTTATTTTGTCTTTTTAGCTACCATACTATATCAAAAACCACTATCACTTTTTGCAAAGCTCTTGAGTCAAAATCACTATCACATTTGTTGTCTTGTCTCCGGAGCGTCGAACCGTGAAGTTAACGATAGAGGATTCAGAACTCCATTATTTTGAATAAAAGAAGCATTTAGCTAACAGTTCCGAGGCACTGTCATGCGAAGTGGATATGGTATTGATCTCTGCATAAAAAGCGCAGGATCCACTACTCCCCTAACGAATATGGGCCGTTTGTGCAAAATAGAATAAGGCCCGCGGGTATTTAGAAATTTGGTTTCTGTGCAAAATTTTCTTTTTTTGTACCCTGACATCCCTTCTTTATTTCCACTTAAAAATGTAAGAATATGACAGCGGCCCTCATGAAGACAACATAGGCGTCCCATCTATTCTAAAATCATTTCAACATCGTGGAGACCTTTATCATATCTAACTACAATGAAGATTTTGACACTGGATTCACTGACTATATACCAGAGATGACAGAGAGCACTAGCACTTTGTACACATCAATCCAATGCGCAGAAAATGCGTTTGGCAAAATTGCAAATAACTCCAATAAACCGCTTTCCAGGCAAATCTTGTGCTTTCACTCTTCCGTCCTACACAGCAACTTCGATGAGCTCTACTACGGTTGCGTTGTAGTTGTCAGTATAGTTGAAACATCGGGAATTTGTTCGAATGAATATTAATTCGAATTAAATGAGTATTATTCGAATCGTCATTTGAATATATTCAAATTCGAATATTTGAATAGTGAGGATCTTTTATATTCGACTATTCGAATCATCGAATATTTGGGCACGACCGAATATGCGAACATTCGGATAACAGAATTAGTGCGTTTTTTTCAGATATTCGACTGTTCGATGGCATAAACGAATTATTCGAGTATTTCAGTCAAACCTAATTACGCAATCTCAATCATATTCAATGATTTTGCAGATATTCGATCGAATAAATATTGAGTGATTTTGCAAACACTCGAACAATTCCGAATATTATTCAATCTCAGTTCCACAATCATTCGAATTCGAATATTCGAATGTCGATGCTACAAAATATTTGACTATCCGAACGAATAAAGGCGTTTCTTCGAATGTTCGATTATTCGAAAAATCGAGTAAATGCGCTTCCTCGAATATTCGAACATCGAATGCTGAGTTATTCGAAATTTTCGAAGATTTCATTCGAACACGAATATTCGGTCCCAACTATAGCTGTCAGCGTCATATAAGCTTATTAGATAAAGCAGAACTTAAGGGTTGCGAGAGGAAGAAGTAAACAGCTTTTTCATTTCAAAGAATTAAATCAAGTGCTAAGCTGAACGAAGCCTACCAATCGTTTCGCAAAGTGAGGGTTTTTTTT